TCTGACACATGGGAAACACTATATGTATCTGCTCCTTTTTATAAGTTCCATGGTATTTATATTATTCAGAAGAGTCCTTTGCAGAATGGGAAATTCTTCCAGACAAGCCTTTCCTAAGAGGACAAAAGTGCTGGTAGCTACAAATGATTTTTCATAACTTTTGCATCTCATGTTTTTCTATAATGTCATAGCTTTCATTTTTAGGAGTCTAGAAGTAATAGGAAGAGGAAACAGTGTTCTAAAACATCATAAGCATTATGGTTTATGTCTAGATGTCCTCCCACAGCCTCGAGTGATCATAGGCTAGTTTGGAGGTAGCTGAATCTAGAGTGTGTGATTGATTCATGGCAGGGCTAGGCCCAAGGGCACTAGGATTAAGGGCATGAGTGCTACCCACCCTAAGTAGTCTGAATAAGATAAAAGGGGCAGAAAGACACTGTTAAGGTCCCTTGTTGCTTTTGCTACCTTATGGGTGCCATGAATGGTTTCTCCTCTGTGACATCTCTCCCCACCTCTCTTGTTGCTTTTACTGCTTCCACCACCATGAACTGTTGCCCCTCTGCCACCCTGCCTTGGACCCTGCTGATTATGGACTGAACCTCTATGAACTGTAAACCAAATAAACCTTTCCCTCTTTAACTTTGGGTGTTGGGTACTCTGTCTCAACAACAAGAAAAGTAACAACACAATGAGTATGCACATCCACTAGGTGGAGAGGATCTTTGTGGGGTAGTTTCAGGAGCTCTCGACAAGGATCTTGTCTGTATATCTGTCTCCCACAACCCTGACCTGTGGTTGAACTTGCCCATGTCCAAACATTTCCCAGTAGCCAAACTATGGCTCCTGTCCAAAAGCACATACTTAGAGAATAAAAGTATTGAGTTGCTCTATCTTACAGACACTTGAATAGAAACTAAACCATTAGAACTTCAACTTCATTGTGACAGCTACCTGAGAAGAGGTTTTGATGGTGGCAAGCAGAAAGACAATGACTTAGAGGACAGCCAGGTCATCTAGCTTGTGAGGTATATTTGGAGAATATATAATTAATAATTTAATTCTAACTCTAATTTGTATATAAAACTCGAGGCAGAGTTGAAAGTAATACTCATATCAAGCCACCCCTGCATTCTGGTGTGTCTCTTGGGGCCGAAGAGAAAAGGGGTGCACCTCAGGGTTCCCTGCATTTTACTTTGCATTGTATCTAAGTCATGGCTCTTACGGGAAGAAGTTACACCTATGCCTTCAGTCGCTGTAGTCCTCATAAACGCTTATACAGAGCTTCACTTATCTATGATAGTAGTGTTCCCATCATATTTTAGTCCAGTTTAATCAGAATCTAGACATACCCGTGCATCAGGAATCTGATCGAGCAAAATACGAGAATCACCATTATGTCACTTATAACTGAATCCTGCCACGGCCATCCCAGCACTCAAACAAAACTCCAGCTCCTTGCCAGGATTTGTCCATGTGGACTTCTCAGGCCCCAGATCATCCCACCCTGTCCCTCACACAACAACCACACTGCCCTGGACGTGTCTTGTTTTTATCTGAGTCCTTATCAAAGTCTCCAAGAAGAAGTATTCAGAAGGTTGGTGGAAGAGCTCCATAAAAATATCCACAAACCTGGGGCCAGGGATTTAGCTCAGTGGTTCCGGCAAGCACAAGGTCTCGAGTTTGATCCTTGGTACCAAAATATATATATATCTCCACAAACCTTCCTCAAACCCCTCACAATATGAGCACAAAGCAGCACACAATTCAAGCACAACAATGTGATTGCTCTGCAATACAGCTTCCAGACAGATCCTGAGACTTCCTTCCTTCTGTCTACCCTCAGACACCCCCACAGTAACAATTTGGACTTGATGCACCTGGAGTTCCTCCCAGTGGGCTGGTGTCCCCAGATCTCCACACAGCTGCCTTCCTCACTGATTTGGTCCCAGTCACCAGATGCCACAAACTGCAAGAGCAGTCACCAACCATTCTGGACACAGTGGCTCCTGGCTCCTACCCCATCTTCAGTCCTGTAACTCTTCAACTGTCTTCTGTACTGAAAATTAACCTGTTCCTTTCATTTTTTTCCATATCTTTTACCCAAAAAGAATTTCAGTGAGAGAAAGGATCTTTTTTGTCTGCTATCTACTATGTAGCAGGTACTCAATGCTACTTGTAGAAGTAAATAAAATGACAATTGTGAAGGGTGATTGTAATGGGAATACTTACTGCTTCTAAGAACAATGCAAATCTGGTGGAGGGTGGGTAGGGGCTGGGCAGGGGTAGAGGTCACACATGAGCAAAAGTACATAACTTAAAAAAGAACAAAGGGAATTGGAATGGGAACCAGTGGGAGAAAAGAGGTGCCAAGTGGCTGACAAGGAGGGTACGTAGCAATGATGGCCTTTGGTTAGTTATAACTTTGCCTAGTCACCTGCTAACCAGAGCAGCTCCTCCTGATGGTTTCTTACACAGAAAAACAAGGAAGCTGATTACCCTAGAGAGCCTAAAATGTGACCCAGATCTCCTCGTTCTCATTGCTGAGCCCCACCAGGGCCTCCGTGGGTGCCATCCTGGGCTGGCTAGGTCACTGTCTCATAGCTATGAAATATTTATGGCTAAAGATACATACATTCGAATGACTTTGTCACACCCCCTCTTGTCCCTCAGTGGCCCCACATGCTAGGTCTAACATAGCTGAGAATCTGCTGGATGAGAAGTAGGAAATTAGCAGCCCTTGACTCACTAGGAAGCCAACTAATTCACTCTTTAAAAAATAACTGTCGAGGGCCGAGGATTTAGCTCAGTGGTTTTGCCGCCTGCTGCGCAAGCACAAGGACCCAAGTTCGATCCCCGGTACCTAAATAAATAAATAAATAAATAAATAAATAAATAAATAAAAAATAACTGTCACAGGAAGGCTGGGGATGTAAAGCTGACAGAGGTCAGCTCAACTTTTGGTGGGGGAATCCATGCTAGTGATAGTCTCTCTGCTTATGTGTTCAGTAAAAAAAACTTAATTCCTCTTGTTTTTGTTATTTTTCTCATTGCTAGGACAAAATATCCAACACCCTACTACCACCCAGTTTAAGGAAGTCAGAATCAAATCCTAGCTTCTGAGCAAGGCAGCCAGGCCTGATACCTTAAAAGTTACAAACAATGCCTTGCTTTTGGGTACCACTAAGACTTGTACAACTATGTTCTCCTCTGATCTTCACATTAAAACATGAAGGAAGAAGGGCTGATATTATTGTTTCTCTTTTGAAAATATACATTAAGTCATCGCATAGATAAGGGATTCACTTTGGTTCCATCCAAGCCTCAGACCAAAAGTTGGCAAACTGCAGCAGCCAGGCTTCTAGGTCACTAGCATGACTCTGTTACACTGTGGCATAGGCCTTCCTTGAAGTAGGCTTCTCAAAGTTTCATGTGCACACAAATTCTCTGGAGATCTTGCTTCTATGCAAATTCTGGTTCAGATGCCTGGGTAGGCTCTGAAATTCTGTTTGTTGAAGAAACTCCTAGGGTATGCTAATGTCACTGGTCCTCAGACCACAGTTTGAGTAGCAAGACTGCAGAGAGCAATGACCTTGACTATCATCTTTACATCCCCACTGTTTGGCACATAGTAGGTGCTCAAAACGTGTATGTTGACTTCATGAAGGGCCAAACATGCTTGATCCTCTTTTCGGATCTCTAGTGCTGAGTAAGTAGCAAAAATTCATAAAATTAGAAGAGATTTAATGAGTGAATCAGTGGTCCATGAAACAAAGAAAGCAATGATCATGCAGAATTGCATGTGAGTCCATTCATTAAACAAAAAGGACTCACAGAGCAGGTGCAAGAATCCATCCCACTACCTCCTAAGTCCACAATGACAACTTTTGCTTATATGATGGCATCCATCAGAGGACTCTCGATTCCGTATGTAAAATGGCGATACTTTCCCCCAGGTACTTTTGTGCTATGGACACGTTGTCTCCCCATTACTTCCTGCCAAGTTTCAGTTGAGTAAACCCGATTTTGGCATTGTCATTTTTGTCCTGGTAAAAGAAGGCTGAATTGTACCAATCTCTCTTGCATTGCTAAAGTTAGACCCTGGCTTTCCGCCTCCCAAGCCAGACTTTGACACTCACTCGAATCTCAAGGGCTTTTTCATGTATAACAATTTCTATGTCTGCACAACACTCTGCATGAAGGATGGGGAGTTGTGCTTCAAACAAAATATTTACTATTCGAGACTTGAGTCGTGCAAAAAGCTTTATTAAAAATAAGGGATGGATACAACCAAACTCAGTTAAAATTCTCTGGACGTTTGGTGAAATCGAACAATACAACCTCTCTCAATCCCTGTCCCAGGAACCCATGTCACAAGGTCCACAGTGTAAGACACTGTGGACTTTGAACCTGCCTCAGGGAAGCATGAAATCCCTTACCATTTATAAGTTACTCAGGAGGTGCTACCTCTGTGAACTCCTGGCAGCAGCTCAGTTTTTCAGGAAGCAGTGTTAAAGGAGAGAGAAGGAAAACTGGACTAAAGAGGGAGGGAGTGTCCTTCCCTGCCCTGCAGAGGGCCCATCCCAGAGGCTGTTCTGGGGTGGGGCGGCGGGCGGGGGGGGGGGTCTCTGCAGCCTGCATCTTATCCACTCGGGCCCCTTGACTCACACTGAGTCACAGGTGGGCCTTGTTATCGAGATATTTCCAGATGCTGAATAAAAATGATTTCTAGGGATTCAGAATCTCATTTCCAGTTATAAAGAAAAGAGAATAATAACGAAAAAACACTGAACTGGGAGCAGAGCCCCTTGCTGCCATGTCACTTCCCCACTGGGCAGACCTACCTTCTTTCAGGTGGACCTCCCCTCAGGAAGGCACTTCCCTTGTATGGCAAGATGGTCTCCAGCCCCTAGCCCTACAAGGTGTGATCAAAACTGGGGTGAATGTTTATATTTATTATAGTCAAAGACACATTGCCATGAAGTCCCCTCGAAATACTCTACCCTCAACTCAAACACACTTCTCCACAGTTCTTCGTCTTCCTTCATGGGTGTATTTACTTGCACTGTGGTAGCTGCCTCAATGTCCTGGATCAGTTCCAAATGTTTACCTTTAATGGTCATTTTGACTTGGAGAAAGAGCCAGAAATTGCAAGGTGCCAGGTCTGGTGAATAAGGTAGATGAAGACACTGCATCTTGATAGAAATTGCTGTAAAGTTTTGAATTGATTCAGACCATTGAGGTAGCCATGATGCACAACTAGAGGCACTCATGAAAGAGGACTTCCAGAACTGCTTCAGAAAGTGACAAGAAGGATGGGCTAAGTGCCTTCTAAGCATTTTGAGGAGAATTAATGGCAATGTGTCTTTCATTGCAACAAATTTTTATTTAAATATTCACAGTATTTTTATCTAAACATTCACAGTATTTTTATCACATCTTCATACATTGTGGTGGCTTAGCAGCCCCAATGGAAAGAAGGTGCTTATTTTACTAATTCCTTGCAGACAAGTTCTCAAACCTATTCCAATGAGATTGACCCAGGCTGCCTGCTCAGAGCTATGAATCACAATTGCCAGGAATGACAAGAGCTCTAAATAGCTAGGCATGGTTGGTTACCTTGTGGCTGGAAAGCAGAGCCCCATTGCAGCCCAGAAATCAGAAATTCAATGTGGAAAGGGTAGTTCTCCGAGGGAATCTCGGGCTGCTATTACTGAAAGAAAATATGGATGGTGAGTAAACAAATAAGAGATGTCTATTCTAATATTCAATTTATAATCTGTCTGAATTTTGGTAATTATATTTCTCCTTGGTTCCAAAACCCTGTCCCTGAACTGAATGTCCTTTCTGACAACTGGCTCCCTGTCTTCCCCTATATCTGGTTCCTACCTTAATTACCTGCTTGAAAACAATACTGTGATACCTACTAGTGTTTATTACTTACCTTGTGCCAGGATTTGTGTCAGAGACATTACATATTTTATCTATTTTATCATAACACACATATAAATATGTATTTTTCACAACTCCATTTTCAGTTGAAATAAATGGGGCTCAGAGTTAGGTAGCTTCCTAATATAACCTGACCATTATGGGAGAAGCAGGATGTAAGAGTCTGTTGGATCCTAAGCATTAATCACTGTCCTCTGATTCCCGGCTACATTTTCAGGCACTTGCCTACAATTAAAGCTCACCTGTTTTAAGGCAAATCACCTGACATCTTCTGACCTTAATGTCCTTACCTGTAAAGTGAGATAGATGATACCTGCCCCACCTGCCTGTCTCATCACTCAGTGCTATGGTGAGGATTAAATGAGGTAATGTGCAAGTAGCAGGATGATTATGACTATTCATAGTATAATCGAGCAGAATGACAGATACAGGTATGAATTTGGAAACAGAAACATATTCACCAGGCCAGGCACTCACTTCTAGCTCTGCAGAAACACACACCCTTTTCTACCAGTTTCCCAATGTTCGCAGATACCCAGGGGCTCTGTACTTTATCCGGGTAGGAGTCAAGTTTGCACTATGCCTCCTGCATGCGCTGATGTGCAGCCAGCTCAGCGGTCTCTCTTTCAGCTTTTCAGTCTTGCTCTGCAGATTTCTTGGAAGACTCTTCTCTGGGTCACCATTCCCTAGCCTTGGCACCATGGCACACGCTAGCCTTATGGCATTGCCCCTGCTCATTTTATCTTTTCACCACTTATTCCCACAGGACTGGAAAGCAGTCCTCTGCTCTGTTAATTAGAATAAGCATGTGATGGGATGCATGGTATGAATCTACTATTTCCACCTTATTGATGGGAATTTTTTTAAAAAACCAATGTTCTTTTCCTTATAAAATCAGAGGAGTCAGAAGACTCTGAACCGGCCTCAGCATCTCTGTCTGGGGCTCACTCCAAGCATCAATAGCAGTGGTGTCATCTGTCATCTTGTTAGGGAGGGATTTTTACCAACATAGTTCTTTTTCTAGTAACCTTGCCAGTCAAACCTATCTTACAAGGTGTAACAGGGATAGAAACAATTCAGAAATTCTTCACTAAGTGAACAAAATGCTTTGCAGTTCAGTTTAGTTTCTTCAAAAGAAAGGGTTTGGAAAAGTCAATGGGGAGAGGGTAATAGGTACCCTAATCACTCCAAATGCCGAGTTGGCTCTTCCTGGGAACTATTTCCTGCTTGGCATCCAGGGTGATCATAGCCTCAGAAGAGTTTCTTCCTTGAATTCTTGATATTTGGCCTTAACAACACTGAGGCTCTTTGTTAAAGAGTTATTACCTTGGCAAACAAAGTAGAGAAGCCTACAAGTCTATTGAGATAGCAATTTTTCAACTTAATACCAATGTGTCTTCAGCAGATGTAAATACAGATGTTGCAGTTTAAATGAGAGTTTCAGCATTGTCAAATGAGGAGCCATTCATTAAACACAAGTGAACAAACAACTTTCCAGCCAGAATACACTCAGCACTCTTGGGAGTTTATAAACTCTGATTAGTTAACTCTCTTGTTTTCTTTTATTTGCTGTGCTCCTGTTTAAAAAGAGAAAGGAGTGCTTCTCTTTGACCCCAGTGATCAGCGATGTGAAAATTGCCTCAGGACCTAGAGGTTGAGGACTTTGTCCCTGCCCTACTGTTCACCACTATCTCTTTATTACTTAACCACCCCGAGCCTCAATTTTTCTCATTTATAACATACAGATCCCTGTAATTTACCTCTATAGAACAGCTGCCAGTGACTCATCATTATTCCCTCCTTTTGGTGATAAGAACACCTTTACTTTTCTTTGAAGAATCATTTCTTCCCCCTACTCAAGGAGTTTTCATGGAGCTGCATCTGCACCCTGGCCTTCAAGGTCAGGTGCCTGACACAAACCTGGCCAATCACTGTGTTCAATCCTGCTGACCACTATCTCATTGGTTTGGGTGTGGTCACACGATACAGAACAGGCCAATAAGATGCAACCTCAGAATTTTTACCTGAACCATCAGTCAGGGCATCTTCTCTTTTAGATTTTCAGGCTTAGAAGAGTGAAAGCTGGAGACACAGGGTGTCACCCCTCAGACAGAGCCTGCCTGATAGTGACACTGGAAAAGAGAAAAATTTCAAATCAAATGATGACCCTAAAACTAGACATATAGGTTGGTGAAGTCCTCAAATAGCCAGTACTGTGTAGAACAGAATCATGCATAGAAGGTGCTCAATAATGGTATGTGTGTTCTCAGAGTAGGGAAGGACACTTTGGGCCTCTGTCACTCAACTCTTAGAAATGCTGCTTTGTCTCCTGAGAATTGCCTTATCTTCTTACAGAGTGCCCTATTAGGGCTAAATCCCAGCATTCCAAGCTTATTCTCAGAATTCCCAGTAACTTGTGGACTCCTCCCTGTCACTTAGAATCTGTGTGAGTAAAACAGGAGAGATCCCTTGGTTTTATCATCTGTGAAAGAGGGGTAATGATGATTTCCTAAATTTGTTATAGGACAGCTGAGACTCACGAGACAGGAGTGAGGGAAAGGATCATTTTCCACCCAGTGGTTCAGGTTGGACAGGAAAGGTGTCTTCTTGAGGACTGTCCCTCCCTTCCAAGAGCAGCAGTGGAAATCCACTTTCTGAAGCCATTTCTGAAGAGTTTCTGTACAAATTTAAAAGCCCAAATGGCACATATGAAGACCTGCTGTGGCCATTGTCACATATCACACCTTTCTGCTTCTCCTCTCATCTGGGGACATTTGATTTTAATTTACTCATTTAAATACATATTGGCTTCTTCTATAGATTTCCTATGCAGCAGTCCTCATGCAGGCAAAACTCCCATTAAGTTGAATAAAAATTTTAAATATGCCAAAAGATGACTAATATTTTATTCATACCACTGAGGATGATTTTAAATGTTTTAATTACTGCACTAGTGCCCTATGGCTGATTAAGGGCAAAACATAATTTACTCATCAAAATAAAATATTATGGAAATATAAAATGAGGCTGATAAATAGTAAAGAAGAAACTCTCCTGGAAGTTTTTTGCTTCCTTAAACTTGGAGGCCCTATACAATATTAATCATGTATTTCAGAGCAACCAAGCGTATAAAAGAATGACAAAGGTGATGAGAATGAAGGAGAGGTCATTTGGTTTTACTTGATTTTGTTGCATTTACTCTAAATATAAGACTTTTCCACAAAGGCAGGATAAAAGTAATTATCCCAACCCCAAATTGCTATCTTTGAATTGTATTTGATTTTATAATGGCTTCTCTTTATCCTACAGATTTTTCAATATTAGTTATTGATTTTTTTTTAGCTGAGCAGATTTGAGGGAACTTGGGCTTATGGTTCAAATATTCAATCTAAATTTGATTCTCTGATAACAATGGATAGGTGACTCACCTTTCATAGGAAAGATGGAATTTGGATCATTGTGTCAATCACAGGTAGTAGATTGGATGTCTGGCCCCAAATAATAATTCTCTGGACCAAGAGATGATATCATCTCCTTCTCTTAAGTAACCTCCATTTCCAGCTGCCATAAGAATTTCATCTTCAATAATTGATCTGTGAGACAGAAAATCTGTTGTTGCTGAGGTATGTGTGATTAAAATTATATTATTCAATAGTTCTCATCACAGACACTTTCCATCTGTTTCTCAAATGCAAAGCACATTTCAAGACACAGATCTGTTCATACAGCAACCTGTAGCCGTGATTTTTATGTTTACTTTATCTAAGACCAAAGGAAGACTGTTCTAGAAGTGCCGTATGGTCTATATTTTACCCATTTATATTAAATTAAATTACAGTCAGCAAAACATCCTGTCTGTTATGATTTAGACCTAGAATGTTCTCAGAAGCTCTCATGTGTTCTGCGGTGGAACTCTTGGAGGTGACTGATTATGGGAGTGTTATACTCATCAGAGGATTGATCTATTGATGAGTTCATAGCTAAATGTGCTATTGGGAGGCCAGGCCTAGTTAGTAGAGGTGTCACGGGGGGCTTGCCTTTGGAGGATATACATCCCTCCTTAGCTCGCCCCTTCACTCTCTGCTTCCTGGCTGCCACAAGGTGAGCAGCTTTTCTCTGCTGTGCCCTTCCACCATGATGCTTCTGCCTTAAAGCCAGCAAACCATGGACT